GTGTGCGTGCGTGCGTGCGTGCGTGCGTGCGTGCGTGCGTGCGTGCGTGCGTGCGTGCGTGCGTTCGTGTGTGTGTGTGTTTGTGTGCGCGGCTGTACGTCCACGTGCGTTCGTGCATGTGTGCATATAGTTGATGAGTGTACGGGCGAAAAGGACGGGGAAGGGTGAGGATGGTGTGAAACGCGGCCGCGACGCGAGCGGGAACAACACAACATCCCACTAAGCATGGGGTACAAGCTTTCGTCTTTCCTCGCTGACTTCTGGGGTCGGCGCTTGGAGCCCCCCCGGCGGCGGTTGCGGCGCGCCCCTGGCGCGCTCCGCGCGCCAGTGAGGGGGGTCCAGTGCAGATCCAAGACATCCACGCGGACTTCTAAAGTCTCTGCTTATGTTTTGTTTTGCTTCTTCTACATATCAATGCTGCATTGCAGAGAGGGTCTCTCGTTCGAGTGATCGAGCAGTTTGCGTTTCCTTCTCGGCGGGAGGTGGCGAAAGGGCGGCGGACGGCGGTGGAAGTAAAGCGAAGATGCCGCTCCCGCCGGCGGCAGCCGGCCGAAGGCCCGAGATGGTGTCCGAGTAGATTCAGGAGGGGAAAAAACACACAGACTCAATTAATCGGCGATTCCCAGAAAATATGGGAAAATATGGGAAGTGGGGGGAAGACAAAAACCCAGAAAATATGGGAAAATATGGGGGATATTTTTATTTGTGTGTATTTATTTGTGTGTCCCAATTCCCCTCCATAGATGGGGTCCGAGTAAGATGGGGTCGGGGGATCGCGCCGCATGACCGACTCATCGGCGATGCGGGTCGATGTGGGCCCGAGTTTCTCAACGATGGCGGCGCCGGTGCATAGCCGAGGTTGCCGATGCATACGCGATCCTCCAACTCCACCTGCTCGGACCCCATCCAGGAGGTCTCTAACTGCCCTTCACTCCCGAGCTATCCGCTCGCTGTTTCGGTGGCCACAGGTGAACCCTTCCCCTCCCCCCTACGATTTCTAAAGTGGGGGGTCACTTCGTTCGGGAGCTCCCGAGCGGAGTAAAGTCCCACTCCCCCTTAGAAATCGTGGGGGAAGGGGTAGGGTTCACATGTGGCTACCTAATGCTGAAGCACCCCAGACGCTTGCGCCGCTGGACAGGGGGGGGGATGGAGGCGGGGCGCGGGGAGGGAGGGGCGGGGGGGGAGGCGGGGACACGGTTTGGGAGGCGAAGGGGCAGGATGAGGCGTGGGAGGCGAATGGGCGAAGGAGGCGGGGGTGCGAAGGCGCAGGGCTCGAGCTAAACGCTGTTTTGGCGATTTCGTGTATTGTTTTCATTGTGATTCCGTTTCGCAGCAGAGGCAGAACGAGGGCAGACCGCAGGAAAACGAACACAACACGAAAACGAAGAAACAATTTTTAAGCTCGAGCCTTGCGAAGGGAATGGCGATGTGGATGCGGACGGGCGTGGGGCATGGGGATGTGGAGGGGGATGCGATGAGGAGTGGATGGGAGGGAAGTGGCGGGGATGGGTGGCATTCTAGGGGCCCCAGGGGCATATTCGGACGCATCCCTATCGAGGATGGACGCTCCACCTCGTATATCCCAGGGGCGGGCCCAAAATTTTTGGTCCATTCGGACACCTCCCAAAGCCTGGGATAGGACTTGACACATCCCCTGTTCATCTTGCCGCCTCGGGCAACCAGCAGGTTCCACTGGAGGCAGTCTTTGTTGCCCCGTGGCGAGGACGTGCGTGACCGGGCGTCGGGCGGGCAAGGGGTGGAGACGGGAGCTGGCCACGTGGCTGATTCCTACACGGCGCAGGCGCGAGTCGTGACATGATGACCAGGAGGGGGGGGAGCGGGGCGGGGCCAGTCACGGGCATTATCGCGAATGGTAAAGGAATTACCCCGACGGCAGGACCCCGCATGCTAGTCTGTATGGCCTGTCCCTCGCCCTTTCCTCTTCGCCCTGGCGGAGGCCCTCTTGCGCCCTTTGATTTGCCTCGTTCTCCTCGTCCTCCTCTTCCTCCTCGTCCTTCTCCTCGTCCTCGTCAAATCTATTTGGGGTGATCCAGTTTTCCACTGACCCGCATCGGATCCGGCCTCGAACTCGAGCATGCAGTGCGGGCCCCATAGGCAGGGGCTCCTGCTTCAGACTTCCTCCAGATTGAACCCTGAAGTGCGGGCCCCACAGGGTGATGGCTCCCGCCTCAGACTTCCTCTACTTCCAGCCCTGAGAAGCGCAACCGTGACGACGGCTACAGGATTCAGATGGTTCCTGTCGGATTCGATCATGCATTGCGGGCCTCCTAGGGAGGAGGCTCCCGCTCGAGACTTCTTCGCCATGTACTCACGACTTGCTTCCCTGCGGTGCTCAAGTGCAATGCCTGCTAAGGATTACGCCGATGACCCGCCTCCGATTCCACCATGAAGTGCGGGCCCCATGGAGAGGGCTATCAAGTCGAGGCTTCCCCGCGATTCACTCACAGACGAGGCCACCGCTCCAGACATCCCCGCTCGAGCCTTGCTTGCCATTCGCCCACAGACGAGGTCCTCGCTTGACATCCTCACGGTTTGCCCCTTTGGGGTGCTCAAGTGTTATGCTTGGTAGATGCCGATGACCCGCTCGGATTAGTAACATGACCTCCGGGCCCGATAGCGAGGGTGCCGCCCGCTTGAGACGCCCTCGCAATTCAGTCAAAGGCGAGGAGCCCGCTTGCGACACCCTCACGAGTTGCCCCCTTGGGGGGCTCAAGGGCTATGCCTCGAGGCCGATGACCCGCTCGGATTCGTAACATGAAATGCGGGCCCCACAGGCAAATGGGGCTCCCCCCTGAGAGTTCCTTGCTATTCACTCACAGACGAAGCCCCCTAATTATGGAGACGTCCTCACGATTTGCTCACTTGGGGTGCTCAAGTGCTATGCCTGGGAGAGAATGGAGAGGACCCGCTCTGGCTGATCACCTGACCTGCGGGCCCAATAGGGAGGGGGCTCCCGCTTGAGGCATCATCGTGTGGCGATGACTGTTGATGCCGGTGCGGTGGTGATGATACTGCTGGCGGTAGGGAGTGTGAGAACATGGTGTGGTGATGATGTGTGTGAAAGCATTGCGTGCGTGTGCGATGATGATGGTGATGGTGGTGGTGATGATGTCGGCGACAGTGATTATGAGGGTGATGATGCTGGTGGTGCTGATGATGCTGAGGGTGCTGCTGCTAATTATTATGATGATGCGTGTGAATGTGTGTGGGTGTGGGTGATGATTAACGTGATGAAGATGCTGGCGAATATGATGATGACTATGATGGTGATGATGGCTTCGCTGTGTTGATGCTGCTGCTGATGTGGATGATGATGCTGCTAATGATGACGCTGATGCTGCTGACGATGACGACGATGATGATGATGATGATGATGATGATGATGCGTTTATGATGCTGATTCTGATGTTTTTTTTTCTGATGCTGATGATGATACTGAGGCTGCTGATGATGATGCTGATGATGATGACGATGATGATGATGGTGGTGGTGATGGTGATGGTGAGGAAGATATTGGGGAGGAGAGGAAATCCTGGGCGGGGTGTGTGCTGGAAGAAACAAGTACCCCACTTTGGATGTTTGAAAACACGGGCATCTGCTGTCGGTTTAACGCTCGACGCCATCGAGCCTAATCGACGAGCCACTGGTGGATGTCACAGTTGAGCAACACAACACATCGCACCAGGATTTGGGAGATCTGATCACACCGCTTGAGACCGAGGTCGGCGCCCCCACCTCAAACGATCAGATGTTTCGGAGCACCGTGCCCACGGACGGTGAGGACATGTCACTGGTCACGGCGGCCTTTCTCCATCCCTCCCTCCTCCCCCTCCCCCTTCTCATCTCCTCCTCTCTTCTGCTTGCCCGTCACCCTTTTCCTTATCCTCCCCCCTTTGCTCCTCTTCCTCCTTTCTCCTCGGGTCGCCCCGGGGCGACGGCAGACTCGATCGCCCGGCCACTCCTCCTGCGCACCCCCCTGCTGTGAAGGCCCGCCTCCGCCTTCGCTTCTGGTGTGTATGTGTGTGTGTGTGTGTCTGTGTGTGTGTGTGCGTGCGTGCGTGCGTGCGTGCGTGCGTGCGTGCGCGCGTGTGTGCGTGTGTGCGTGTGCGCGCGGCGACCCCTCTCCCCTCTCATGTTGCTTCTCTCGTCTTGTTGCGCAGTTCGCTCTGCCGCGCCCAGGCTGTTGCTACTCGACGCCTCGTGCCCCACGTCGCCGCTGACAGCATCGTGGGCACTGCACTCCCTCGGCACGGGGCTTCCCAGCCTCGGCTCGGTCCCACGCGAGGGCGGCCCCTCTTGGCGGGAGAGGCGAGCGGAGTTGTGTGTGTGGTGGGGGGGGAGGGGGCGTGGGCAGGTCGAGTAGGGGGAGGGCGACCACGAGCGAGATGGAGGAGCGAACGAACGGCGCGCAAAGCGTCCCCAGGAGGGGGGCGGGCCTGCGCGGGGGCGACCGTTGCCGCCGCAGAACCCCTTTCGCGGAGCCGCCTCTCCTCGGCCAGTGCTGCCGTAAGCCATGTGATTGTTTGGCGTCTCTCGGGTTGAACTGTGCCGCTTCGTCACCAGACGTATGCTGCCGGCTTTGCGCACGCTTCCGTACTTCGTCCTCCCATCTCTCGTGCTGCCCACCACGTCGCCGCCACCCCTGCTGCTTTGCGTGGAGCGTGGTTGCACTTGAGAACGCGCTGCGGCCGGCGGGCCGTCCAGGAGGAGGAGGAACAGAAGGAAGAGGAGGAGGAGGAGGATGTGGAGGAGGAGGCGGAGGAGAAGGAGAAGGAGGAGGAGGAGGAGGAGGAAGAGGAGGAGGAGGAGAAGGAGGAGGAGGAGGAGCACGAGGAGGAGGAGGAGGAGGAGGAGGAGCAGGAGCAGGAGGAGGATGATAATGAGTAGGAGGAGGAGGAAGAAGAGGCGGAGGAGGAGGAGGAGGAGGAGGAGGAGGATCACCCTCTCCCCCTCCCTGGCGGCTCCCCGCCGTGGTGGAGGACAGCCCTAACTTCGCCATGGTCGTCACGGGGTCCGCCGGCCACCTCCGCGCCGCCACCGTTTGTGCGCGCTGCCACGGGCGGAGGGGGGGGGGGCGCCTGGCGCGGGGCACGCTCCTCTAGGCCTCCAGCATGGAATCCGAGTAGATGGTGCCGACGTTTCCCATGCAGTGTCCCTGCATCGTCGATGCATCGCCGATGCGTCGCTGCTGCTCTGGCGATGCGTTGGCGATGCGGCGCGATCCTCCGACTCCGTCTGTCTTGCAGCGGGCGTGGGTCGGGCCGCGGCGCCCTCACGATTCGAGCTCGCTCGAGAGGTCCCCGCGGGGAGTTGGGGTCGGGGAGCCCGTGCCGTCGTGTTCTGCAGCGGCGTGAGCAATCGCACCACGTCAGGTGCCGGGGCTCAGCTCGTCCTGTTCGGGTTCCTGCTCGTCCCCTTTCTCGTCCCGTCCGCTCCCGCATCCTTTGCCCTCCGCCTGTCGACGGCGCCCCCCCCTCGCAGTCGCAGGCAGCCCGCAGAGGTGCGGGGTCTGGCAGGACCCCAGACGAGCAGCGGCACGGGCAGTTGCAGGGCGTTTGCAGAAGTCGGTCGGTGGAGTGCGAGCGGGCGCTCCAGAGATTCGTGCGGCCGGAAACTTTTGGATAGCGTAGGGGGCAGCCAGAGCAATCCAACCGTCAAGCAGAGGCGAAGCGTCCTGGCTCGCCTATAGGGCTACCAAACAATGTTCTAAGAACTTTTTGTGATTTCCACGAAATGTTCTTAGAACATTTCTGGCTGGGACCGTCGTGTTTTAACACATCGGGGTTATGTTCTAAGAACATTGTTTTTGTTTTTAGAACATATTTGGGTTCTAAGAACAGTTTGTGGTATGCCTATAGGAATGCCAGGACGGTCGGTCCCTGCTCAAAACAGAGGGCGGGACAAGCGGGGGAGGCGGGGGACAGGCAGGGAGGGCGGACCAGCAGAAGGCCGATCGCGTGGTCCAGAACGCGTGCTGGCGCTACGGGTGATGACGGCCAGAAGCTTTTGGATACGTGTCGCGGCGGCGGCCCCAGCGACAGGGTGTGTCCTGCGAGCGGATCGCGTGTCGCAACGCTCCACAGGGCGGCAGGCTCGGGAAGGCTCGGCAAGTTGACGCTGTGGGCCGGGAAGTGGATAGCGGGTCGCGCCAAAGCGTGGTGGGCCATAACCAGCGGAGTGACATCAGGAGACAAAGTGCCGTATCGTTGCCTCTGGCCGCTTACGCACAGCACTGATCATACAAGAACGAGGAGGCAACGAACGGCACGTGTGAGCGTCGTCAACAGGCTGTGATCTGGTGAAGGAGTGGGCTCAAACGAATGCCCTCGATCATCTATCCAGTGGGCCCTTCTCTCAGCAGCGCGCACTGCGCTGGGTAGTCCTCCTGCGCTGACGTAGATCGCCGCCCACCAAACCACCCTAACCCAAGCCGAAGGCCCCGATTTGCCATCCATTTCCTGTGGGGGGGGTCGGGGAACATTGAAACAACGTGTGGAACCCGTACCCCCCAAAAACAACTCGAAATTTGGGGCTTCGGGTCAGGTTGGGGTGGTCTGGTAGGTAGTCAGGTTCTTGCGGAGGGGGCCCATGTCAAGAAACACCCTGCTTGCCTCTGGGGTGCCTTTGGTTTCTTGGGTTGCGATGGTTTTGCGACGGAGAGCGCGAGGTTGGGGACGTCCTGGGGTCTCAGGGGTCCTGGGGTCTCAGGGTTGGGGTTCTTGTGGAAGGTTTCTTGTGGACTGGCCTCCACTGCACTTTTGCTCGCAAGGTCCTTGAGGGGGGCTTCCGGGTGACTGCCCCGTCGCCGCTCGTTGGGCGCCTCGTGCGCGCCTCGTCCGCTGGCTGGGCGCTCCCCCCGTCACCGCCCGTGGCGCCCCGTGTGCGACCCGTAAGCCGGGCATGTCCGTCTACGGGGGGAACGTGCACAAAATAGTCAGCAGCTCGCCTGGTGACGATTTTTCTGCTCATGTTCGGCTATGTTTGAATGTTCGTGGGCTGCTGTACATTGTTCTTCCAACATCCGCCTGTAGGAGGACATGCCCGACTTAGTGCTAACCTTGCTCTTCGGGGATTCGCCCCGCCGCCGCCCGCGGGCGTATCACGGGCGCACCTGTTGCGCTGGCTCGGTGTGTTCTGCAGGCGCACGTGCAGTCAAAACGCTGAAACCAGCACCTCTTTGCGATCGGAAAGAGGCTCGCTGTTCCGTGGGTCCTTCCTTGGCTGTTCCTCTAGCCCGCCTCGTGCACCCAGGCGCTGTTGGGGCCAAAAGGGAGCTCCGATCCTTACTCAGCATTCCTCATTTCAGCGGCCCGGCTGTAGACTGCGTCCCGTACGATTGTACCCCGTGGCTTGCACCACAGCGTGTTCAAAAGAACCACATCGATTGCGCCACATTTCCTGCGTCGTAAAGATTGCAATCGCAGCTTGCATCGCAGCGCATGCGACACATTTTGCACCACATAGGCTACATCCAGAGCGACAGAGCTCACTGTTTGGTGCCCTGGCCGGATAACGTCTTGGCACTTGAAGAACGTGTGTGAATGCATCTGGCCCGTCTTGACGGCGAGCGTGCTGGATGAACGTCTAGCCAGAGCGGCGCGGCCTTGGTAGGTATACGGCCAGCATCCGCCGCAATGATTGCCTGAGTCATGATGACAAGACCACGGTTGAGACATTGGTTGGACCTGGCGCGGCCAAGGCTCGTCTCTCTTCGACTGGGCGCAGCAAGGCACGAGAATTTGGCGCAACTGGAGGTAGGTCAAAAGCAATGAGACCTAGAGCGATGGAAGCAGGGGAGTTAATGCAACGCAGGCGCAATGCTCACAGAACTTCAACCAGAACGCATAATAGCTGGGAGCACATGCAGGATCAATGCACACGCAGTGCAAGGCAGTCTGCCACACCGAAATTCGTACAATTGCAGTGAAGCTGAAATGCAGCAGCGATGCGCAGACAATGCAAACGCAATGCAAGGACATGTAACCGACCACGGACGATAATAAAGGTGCCCCCCCTTTCCCCCCTCAATTTTTTTATTCCCGCCCACAGGGATTTATCTGTAGGGAAGGCGCGGAGGCCGAACCTGATAATCCACGGACAAGTTGCGGGGATCGAAGTTGCAATCATATCATACTGATTCGCAACAGCCGTAGAAACGCTGAGCGTGGCCATGGTGGTCTCACCACACCAGCTTCCCCAATCACGACCGTGTGGCAGTGCCGTGGGAGGAGTCTCACCAGTTCAGTTTGCCCACGTTGCGACCGTGCGGCAGGGCCATGGGATGCTTACAAACAGAGAGTAAACGTCAAAACGACGTTTGGGTAGGGATCAGCACTCGCCGAGTGCTGATCCCGACCAAAATGGCCAATAGTCCTCCTCCTCCTCCTGCTCCTCCTCCTCTTGTTCCTCCTCGTCCTCCTCCTGCTCCTCCTCCTCTTGCTTCTCCTCCTCCTTCTCCTCCTTCTCCTCCTCCTCCTCCTCCCCCTTTGCCACCGCAGCTGCCCAGGCCCAAGTTCCCCCGAGTCTCCGAGACTCCAAGCTTTCGGGCTTCTTCAAGGCGCCGAGCCTCTTCGCCCCAGGGGCAGCGATAGGGGGGGAGAGGCATGCCTATGCATCGGCGATGTATCGCCGATGCATGGCATTTTCTCTGGGGGGGACATCGCCCTGGACTTTGCGATACGTCGCCGATGCATGGGGCGCGCATCGCCGATGCATCGGCGATGTATCGCCGATTCCAGGTCGATGCCGCCCCCCCAACGCCTATCCCCTCACATCGTTGCCCCAGGCTGCGTCGCGGGCCCCACCGATAGCCCATCTGGCCGAGCGCGCAGCTGCCGCGAGTCTGCCCGTCGAGGCGCTGAAGCACGTGGCGGCGCCGAGCCCGGCCGAGCTCGAACGAGATTCCCGAGCGCATGGCCAAGCAGAACGAAACTATCGTCGAGAAATTGAGCGACATCGCCGGGAAAATCAGCGTTGCCGAGGTGAGGCGATGCGAATCGCACGCGCAAGGCACGGACGCGGCTCGTGTGACGAGCTGCTACTTCAAGGCCGAGTCGGCCTCGTGGTCGTCGAGCGCCCGGCAGGCCGTCTTGGAGATGGTCTACGAAGGCGGACGCCACAAGAGCATCGAGCGCACCCACATCTTCAACGAGAAGGACAGGGGGCGCATCGAGCTGGCCATGGCGGTGTTCTTCAATACCTACGTCGAAAAGGACGAGCGCGTGTGCGACATCTTCGAGAAGCACGGAGAGCCGCCCGAGGACCTCCTCTGGCTCATGCCGAGCCCCAAGGCCAAGCTGGAGGAGCTCGCCAAGAAGAGAGACATGGAGGTCGGCGCCGAGAAACCCGAGAAATTGACCCACGGCTCCTACACCGAGCGCATCAGGTCAGCCCCCCCAAGCACCCCCGCCGAGCCCCCCAACCGCCACGAGTTAGCCCTGCCGATCAGTGCGAGATGCCCGCCGAGAGTGCCCTATCATGATTCCGTGATTCCGCGCAGGGCCCGAGATTGCGTCAAGCGGTGCGACGAGTCCTCCACGGCCCCGGCGCCGAACGACGGGGTCGCCGAGGCCACGGCTCTAGCCGTCGCCAGGTGGTGCTGGAACATCGAGAAAACCGCGGACGTGAGCTACGAGCTGCACGAGCGCCGCTGCCAAGAAAAGCGCGCCAAGCTAGACTATTCGAAAACTTTCAAGCAGCAGAAGCACGAGGAAGTGCTGCTCGATTACCGCATCAAGATGCACGTCGAGACGCATGCGAGTCGATAACCGTATCAAGATGCATGTCGATAACCGCATCAACCGCAACTGCACGTCGTGTCGACCCAGGCCGAGTGCGACAAGCTGAACGAGCGCGATGGCGAGAGGAGCCAGGCCGACACGAAGGCCGAGTCAGACCCCGACCCGTTCATGCTCGCGGACGCCTGGGCGCACGAGCTCCCCGAGCCAAGCGCCCCATGCGTTTCGCTGCGAGGGCGCCGTTTCGAGGCGCGCGCCCGAGCCCCACCTGTTT